CTGCTGTTTCTCCATGTATTTATTTTTTAAAGATAAGGTTAGTCATAAGGCAACATTGTTTTAGCTATTTCTCTCGTAATCTAGGGCAATGATTTTTTAAGCCATGTTGGGGTGTGTGTGGGAAGGGCACAAGGAGATGGGGCTCCAGATACCCTATCCACCCCCTCAGCAAACAGAGCAGCTCCATTTTACATACTGAAGTTCCACCTAAGATTTCATTTGGGGAAGAGGAAATCCATTGATCCAAACACATTGTAACTATATTATCAGAATTCTAATTTTCTAAGCCTCCTGTATCTCCCGAGCCTCTTCCTTTAAATAGAGTTCCCAGCCAGAAACTCATACCTGATTTTTTTTCCGAACTTATTTAAAACAATTAAAAATTTTTTTTCTTAAGGGGTTCACGTTATTTCCTCTTGCCAAGTTCTTGTTATGCCCACCTAATTAGCATCTCTGTTCCTCCTGTCACCCAATCCCCATTGTTTTTCGGCTATTTGGTTCTTTTCTTAAAACTCAAGGTGATCATGTCATGCTTCACCTTGAAATCTTTTTACGGCTTTCCATCTCCAGGCAGTGTTTTATTACCCAAACGATTCGAAGAGTATTTACTAGAAGGCTAAATTAATTGTGAAACACTGAGCTCAAACATTTATTTTTTTAACTGCAGAACTTATGAGAGTGTTTCCCAAAGCATCTTACCACATCCCCTTTCTCTGCCACTACACATCCCTGGGAATTAGAATGGTGGAGTCAGTCTACCTGAATTGGAGCCAGTCCAGTGACTACACTGTGGTCTCCCCATCCATAAAATGGGGACAGCAAGAGTAGTCACCTGACAGACTTGTTAGAAAAATTAAATGAGATGATCTATGAAAGGCGCTCAGCAAAACAGGTGGTACATTAAAAGGTGGTGATTATTTTAATTATTTTTGTGACACATTTTAGAAACAATGTTCTACCGGATCTAGTTAAAACTCCTTAGCCAGGTACATCAAACCCTTCAAAAGCAGACTCCACCTACCTACCCACACTCTTATCCTCCCCTCCATGACCCCTACACACACACACACACACACACACACACACACAAATCTGTGCAAACTGCACTCTGCCCTTCCCTGAAAACTCCATGTTCTTTCCTGTTTCTGTACCTCGGCACAGGCTGTTCTCTTTGTTTTGTTTCTTGTTTTTCCTATTCTCCCAACTCCAGGGTTTCTGGGAGCAGGGACCCTGGCATATTCTGCTTCCCCAGGGGATGACTGTTCCTGCTAACTAAGCCAGGCCTGGGCACTCTGGATGCCATATGAAATGGCAGCACAGCTGTGTATTCAAACCAAATTTGACCCTGAAAACGTTTAGCATTATCAGTTCAGGGATTTCTGAGCACGATCCACCTGTTCCCTTTGCTTGGCCCTTGCAATAAACCTTTCTTTGCTCCAAACGTGGACGTTTCGGTTTGTTTGGCCTCACTGTGCATCGAGCACATGAACCTGCATTCAGTAACAGGAGGATAAAGTCATACAGGACACGGTCAAATACTAGCAGAGAGTCAACTGAGACCTCTGGTGACCCAAGGTGACTCAGGGTGACATTTCATTCTGTTGGTAGAGGAATATGTGTTTAACGCTGAAACATGTATACTTTTCAATTCATGTTTGCATATAACATTTGTTTAAGAAATCAGTTTATTACATTAAAAAAAGAGTTTACCATATGGATACACGTCATTATGTTTGTCAAAATCCACAAAATGTACACCACCAAGAGTGAACCCTAACCTACACTATGGACTTAGAGCATATGATGTGTTAATGTGGGTTCATTGACTGTACAAATGGACCACTCTGGTGCGGGGTGTCGACAGTGGGGTTGCCTGGTGGGGAGGGGACAGGAGGTATAAGGGACTCTCTGTGCTTTCCACTCAGTTTTGCTATAAACCTAAAACTGCCTCAAAAAATACAATTTTTTTTTTTTTTTTGGCCGCACCGTGCAGCTTATGGGATCTTAGTTCCCCAACCAGGGATGGAGCCTGTGTCCTGCAATGGAAGCATGGAGTCCTAAGCACTGGACTGCCAGGGAATTCCCTACAATCTATTTTTAAGTTATCTAATAAAACATAAATTGTAATTAACATAGATCAAAAATTAAATCAAAATTAGTTTTCCTTTCCTAATATAAATCTACCGTCAAGTTTAGGGCACACCTAAACTACAGAACACTTCTAACGGCAACGCCAAAAATTCACCACACTCTACTTTCCAACACTTCATAAAGACTAAACAATTCATTGTATCTTAGAGGAACTTTTTCTTTCTTCTCTAAAGCACCATCAGCCCTATTTGAAAAATGACCCACATCCAAAGTCAAGTGAGTGTGGCAGACCCTGTGTTCACACCCTCCCCTCTGCTCTTGGGCGGGGCATGCATTCCTCCTTGAGGTGTGTCTGGGCAAACGAAGAACAAAGTATTACATTGCTCTGTCTCATCCTTCGATTCAAGAGGACTTTCTATAGGACTGTTTCACAAAAGGCCAATACCTTCAATGTGATCTGTCACAGAATGAAAGCATAAAACCAAAAGAGAAAGTGATGTGTTCTAATGTGGATGCACCTGTTTAGAGCATGTCAAAATAAAGCCGACATTAAACGCAAACCCCATCTTAGCATTAGAAGATCAATCACCCTGCCACACGCGTTGACGGTAGAATCTGGACTTCGCTGCTTTGTCCTTTGTGACGACCCAGTTGTGGGATAATCCAGGGTTGACCTTTGCCCTCTCACTGAGAGAAACAATACTCTGCTGGAACTTAATTATTATTATCATACACATCTCCAGACGCCCCTCACTTTGCACCTTACACTCTGGCTTTACCTGGTGATTCACAGAGATGCCTTCTCCCCATGCCCAGAATGACCTGCCTTCTTTTCCACCTACTGACCTCCTGGGCATCCTTCAAGTCCCTGTTCAAAATGCGAGGGCTCTGTTCATATTTCACTGAGGCTTCCTCTCCCCTAGCTAGGGCTGCGGTGTTCAGTGGAGCAGGCCGTGCACTGCACAACTCTAAGGAGAGCCACTGCCTTTCAGGCCAGCCCCTGCATTGCATTTAGTGTGGATCACATTCAGTCTTAGCTGGTTTTTACATGCTGGATTCCTCTATTAGTCTGTGCATATCTTGAAGGAAAAATTACAACTTATTTATCTTAGTTTCACCAAGTCCCCAAACAGTATCTGGAACGTTGCGGTTGTTCAGTATTTTCTTTAACGAAAAAATGTTTTTCAAAACTCTCAAACTGGAACAATTATACATTATTAGACACAGCCCTATGCATTTGCCATACTATATCTCTTCTAATATTTACAACAGCCCTGTAAGGTAAGTCAGGTGAGTATCACTATTCCCATTTTATTGCTGAGAAAACTGATTTCCAGAGAAGTTCAATAACTTTTCCAAGGTTACCTAGTAAGTGACAGAACCATAACTTGACTCAAGTTTAAGACTCCAAAGCCTGCACTTATAACTACTTAACCACATACTATACTGCTTCTAATGCATGCAAAGAATATTTAGTTGTTCTCATTTAAGTTACTGGGAATATTCAAAAGTAAAACCACTGCATATATTTTCAAATGATCTATAATGAAAATTTTTATGAGAATATAGACCAGCCTCTTGACCAACTGACGACAGCATTAAGGTTTTTCCTTTATGCCGATACACACACATATGTTTAAATATGTGCACCCTAATGTGCTACCAAGAAGAGCCAACTATCAACCAGCAAGGTCAGAACGTTTCACATGTTTATTGTGCCAGCTACCAAGCTACATATACCTGTTGGGCAGGACAGTCTCCTCCGCAGGAAGATAAATGTCAAAGGAAGGCCTGAACACTGAAACCAAAGTATAAACACGAAGACCAGTAGGAAACAGAAGTGCTCAGGTGAAACCGTCCCCCAGAGGATAAGAGGCAGCCTGTGGAAGATGCCAAGCGGAGAGGAAGACCTTCCTTGACCCCAACTCCTTTGTGCAAATGGAAGGAGGGTGGATCCTGAGAGGTGAGCAAAGAGATCAAATAAGATCACTTTCAATAGGGACCGCTCCCCTCTTCTGCATCACCCTGAGAACTGGGCAATGGTGTCACAGGGCCCAGGACAATCACAGAGCTCTTCCTTGCCCTCGGGAAGGCTTGACTCTCAGGGGTCTGCCGTCATTTCGGCACTGGCAACCTTTCAACCACACCCCCTTACCTACCAGCCCATACGCCACATGCGATATGCTCCCAAGACACAAATGCTTGAGGGGGTTTCTCTCAAAAGTCCCTTGTCCTAAATGTCTGTAAGACTGAAAAAAAAAAAGCAGGGCTTGCTGGTTACAAAGGGCACGTTGCCCTAAGAATCTCTTCTAAAGAGAGATAACGTGACTGTCTTAATGGTGAACCCTGGGTTTGCTTAAAGCCCAAAGAAAACAAGGTCATGAGGAATCTTAAAAGGAACAAAACCCCCATTTTACAAGCTCCCACAAAAAAAGCCTCGCTGGTCATGCTCACTTTAAATGCTCTTTCTTTTCTTCCCTCTTTTCGCTCTTTGAAGAGGAAAATATGGAAACAAACAAAAAAGCAGCTGCATCCACCGCTTATGTGGTTTTCTCCTTGATATGCAGCCGGAATGCCAAAACCCCAGCTACCCACTTGATTGTTTTTAAAGAGGGTAAATGGTTTTGGGGAGGAGAGTCTCATTACGACCTCCTCATGGGCTGAAAGCAAAGGGGTGCTGCCACCCCCAGCCCGTGCCCCGTGCAAACTCTAGGGGGTGTCCCTGCTTCTCACAACATCAGAGCAGGTGTCTGCATCCACTGAAAGGTGTTAAGATCTAGGCCACGCTAAGAATAACAGGATGCTTCGAAACCAGGCTGAGGCTGAAAAGCCTGGCAGGTGCCAAGAGAAGGTGGCTGGTCCCTGGGGTTGAGCTCCGGCGCATCCACCCACCACGCTTGCACCCTTACCTCCCGCAGCTCCAGCCTCTGGGCCACCGCCTCCAGGCACTCCTGCCCCGTGCTCTCCACAGACAGCGTGCACTCGATAACGTTGCTGTCCAACAGGCGGATGCGGGTGACAAAGCAGTTCTTGCTCAGGACGTTGTAGCGCCGGGTCCGGCGGAGCTTCAGGCCGAAAGGCATGGCTCTGTGGCCCTCGGATGCTGCCCTCCTGTCCTGACGCCCACGCCCCTGAGACGGCCTTAGCAGCTTCGTGACTGGGCGATGACACTAGCACCCGTGCTCCTCCAAGTGCGGAAGAAGGCGTCCATGCCCGGCGTGGCGCTCTGGAGGGTCGCTGCAAACAGAAAAGCAGCAGCAAGGTCATCACCTGGAAGGGAAGCTCCAGGCGGCACATATTCCACACACACAAGCATATGCCCCTGATAGATGAATGTCCAGATTCAAGAGCCAGCAGACTCTGTTGCTCCCAAGCGCCTTGGTCTAACCCCTGCACTTGACCTTACCTTACAAGGGTGATATGATAAGATCCACTTTATGGCTAGAGTAACTGACGCTCAGAGCGATTAAAAGAACTCAACTAAGAATGCACACGGCAAAGCCTGCATTCACACCAGTGTCTATGTGACTTCGATTCACATGTTTTTTTTCATCGTACAAGCCTGTCTGCTCAAGAAAGCAGGAGTAGAATTTGAACTTTTTTTTTTAATTTCTAAATATATTATATCATTTCAGCCTCATTAACAACCCTCTGGGTGTCGATTGTACGATCCCTATTCTAGAGATGAAAAAAGTGGGGTTCAATGATTTAAGCAATTCCCTGATCCTGAACTTAAAATCTTATCTTATTCCTCACTCTTTGTAACACTGCCTCTTTACTTCCATTAACATTATTTCCGTTTATTTTAATTTTTTTTTTTTTGCGATACGCGGGCCTCTCACTCTTGCGGCCTCTCCCGCTGTGGAGCACAGGCTCCGGACGCGCAGGCCCAGCGGCCACGGCTCACGGGCCCAGCCGCTCCGCGGCATGTGGGATCTTCCCGGACCGGGGCACGTCCCCCGCATCGGCAGGCGGACTCCCAACCACTGTGCCACCAGGGAAGCCCTTATTTTAATATTTATACTTATTTTCTTATTTACTTTATTACTGGATGATAGAAAATGGAGTGAATATGCATTTAATTATTAACTAATTATAAATTAGTAATTAATGATTAACTACTCAGCAACTTTCTTTTTTCAAAAAAAATTAATACATGAATTTTTTAATGCACTTAAAATCACAACTCTATCCTTTTTTCACCAGATATTTAGACAGATGTGGGGAACCACCCTACAATCATTTTGTTCCTTAACAGAATTCTTGATGCAAAAGCCCATCACCAAATTACAGATAATTTAACTTACTAATAACAAGATTTACTGACACCCGGATGTCCCACCAAATGGCAGCGATGACATTACTGCCGTGGACAACACGAGAACAAAATAACAACAGTAAAAGCGGCTTTACCATTCCGCCCTGTGCCAGCAATTCTCTCACTGGGAGGCTCGTTAAACTTATCTTCCAAAGAAGCCAGAAACGTCCACACGGTCTCTCTGTTCAACTTTCTGTTCTCCATGAAGTGCAAGGGACTATCTCTCGCTCATATGATTGTTCTGTTAATTTGATTCCCTAAGTCAGGCAGCCTTTATGCCCTTTATCCACAGAATTACCTCTGAGCGCCCTGACACTTGGATAGACAAACAGGAATAATTACTTGTAGGCATTCTTGCATTCATAAGTTAAATGGCTTCAATATTTAGAAATCACTCCTTGTCAGTACCCCCCGGCCTCACAGAGGTTGTCAGGACACAATCCTACAACACAGTAAAACACACTCCTGAGACTCCCTCGGCCATTCTTTGATGCCTGCCCTCGGCACATTCCTTAGCGTGACAGGTACGTGTTTTATGATGGCTTAAAATACTAGAGACTTGGGCTTGGTAAAATAGATTAACATTTCTAAATCACTTTATGTTGGCAGAGTATCATGTTTACCTGCAAGGTAGGCCAACCTGATGATCTCCTGGTATCTGCAGAAAAAAATATGGAGGGACCCACCCAGAAAAGAAAAACAAAAGAGTATCAGAATTTAAATACAGAGTCCTTAAGAGTTTACTACTCCCACATTCCATCAACTTGCTAAAACACAGGGCAGAAGACACCAAGATTCAACTCCTATATTAGCTAGAGAGCCTCAAAGACAGAAAAATATTTGCTCTGTGGGCACAAGTCACATTTCTCATCCTGGGCCGGGCACTTTACATTCGGGTGTGTCTCGCCTTGAACACCTAGGAAGGAATGTGGCTGGCTTGGTGCACTTTTATCCCAGGCACCACTAAACACAATCTCAGCTACATATTTGACATGACACAATCCACAATGCAGTTAGTGAGATAAAAGTAAACTGCACAACAATGTGTACAGATGATCAGTTTTTATAAGAAATAAATAAATGGGAAAAAATATATAACTTCACCAAAATGACTGTTATCTCAGGGCTACATGGTGATGGTATCAAATGGAACTCTTATTTTATATTTCATACATAGTCATCCCTCTGTATCCGCAGTGGGATTGGTTCCAGGATCCCAGCAGATACCAAAATTCGAGGATGCTCATGTCTCTTATATAAAATGGCATAGTGTTTGCAAAGAACCTATCTCGTATACTTTAGTTCATCTCTAGATTACTTATAATACCTAATACAATGTAAATGCTATGTAAATAGTTGGCCAGCTTGGCAAATTCAAGGTTTGCTTTTTGGAACTTTGTGGAATTTTGTTTTAAAAAATATTTTCAGTCCAAGGTTGGTTGAATCCGCAGATGCAGAACCTGTGGATACAAAGGGCCAACTGTATTTCTGAATTGTTCTAACATTTTACAATTGCCTTATTTTTGTAAATTAAGATTCTTTTAAAATATATTAGCTACAGAAAATATCAGGTGCAACATCTGACAATCTGGCAACACATCTCCTAGAAAATACCTATTATAGGTTTAAAGAACTTTTAAAATCTTCAATTTGCAAGACACTTGCCAGGTAAAGTGTCAACAAAAAGGTTATAAGAAAACTGGTCTGGTCCCTCTAAAAGTCAGTGTCCCGAAACAAGAGCTGAACAGGAGGGATTGGAGGCAGGTTGGTCTAGAGTAAGAGAAATTCCAGAGTTATAAAAGCAAAATGCAATGTGTGAGCCTTAAGCAAACCCAGGTTGGAAAAAAATAGTTATCAAACACATGAGACCATCAGGGAAATCTGAAATAGAGAGTAGAAATGAGATGATACGAACATATGCTGGTTAATTTTCTTCTGTTTTTAATAGTGGAATTGTGGTTACGTAGGAGAATGGCTTTAGGAGATGCCAGTGGATATATTTAGGGGTAAAAAGACACTCACGTGACGAGAGGAGGGAGAACTGCAATTGAGCTGAGCGGTTCTCTCTAAGAGCCAAAGTTTAATTTCAGGGAACAGAACATTCACAAATCTTGGTGTGAGAACTGGATTCACCCAGAGAGGCCTGGAGTGAGTGCCCAGTTACTAATCCTCAGTTTACTCATCTGGAAAGATAACCTCTGCCTCAGTCTACTCATCTGGAAAGATAACCCCTACCCCAAGTTTGTGAGGAGTTAATGAGAAAATGTTTCCGGGGTGCGCTCAGTAAGTGTGGGCGTGTTCCCTTCCTATGCCCCTCACAGTGAGCTGGGTTTGCTCAAAGGATAGCAGAGCAGGTGTGAAAAGGACTTGAGTACCCTGCCACCTACCGTGGACAAAGCCTTTTCAATAGAAAAAAGGCAAAACAAAGAATATAGAGTTTAACATGAAACAATGACAATTCCACAGGGAAACTTGACCAAGTGTAAAACGAACCATGGACTCTCCCAGAACTGCTACCTTGTCATTCCCCCAACTGACATCTGGAGCAGAAAGGAACTGGTCATTCGACGAAATGTCCCATTATGAGCCCATTCTCAGTGGGTTAGAAGACTGTAGCCTTCTCCTTAATCCCTTATCTCAGTCAATAACGTGTATAGTGTCTGGTGTCATCAACTGGCTTTTTGGGGTTTTTTTTTTTGGTAGAAGATTGATTCTAAACTGCCTTTGGGGGACTTCCCTGGAGGTCCAGTGGTTAAGATTCCATGCTCCCAATGCAGGGGGCCTGGGTTCAATCCCTGGTCAGGGAACTAAGAGCCCGCAAGCCGCAGCTAAAGATCCCACATGCCGCAACATTTAATTAACATTTAATTAAAACTAAATAAATAAATAAACTGCCTTCGGTCCTATAATCCACTAGGCTGTGTCTCTACAGCTGCTAGCGTATCCCAGTCTCTCTCACTGAAGAATCGCCCATAGGTGTCTTGGTTCCCAATCAGAATCCTGAAGGGAAAGATCTGTGTCAGATTCTCTGTCAGATTCAGTTCTGTGGTCTCCTGTGACCCTAAAGTGGAGTTTTGTACATGGCAGAGAGCTAAATAAATATTTGTTATTACAATGAAAGAAAGAGTGAATCCTAAAAATAGTTGAGATTTTGAAACCAAGGTAGGACAGGGGCCTCCAGGTGACCCCAGTGAAACTTGAGGAATCTGAAGCCTCAGATAGGACTGACTTGGAGGCGCTTAAGAGAGGCTTAAAACTGTGGAGAAATGGGATGAGAAGTTATTCAGCTCACTGGTGCTTTTTGGGGACAAAATTTTACCCAGATTTTGAAAAGAACATTCCCACCACCCAAGTTTCCCTTCTCCAGACCTTAATGTGCCTTGTCCTGGGGGTGGTCTCGAAGACTGGAGAGATGCCATATCCCCTGGAAGTTCTGTGAGAAAACTACAGAACTACCGATTGGATAGTATTCTAGTGTGCCCATGACTGCCGAAAGCAATTCGTTGGGATATTTGCTGGGTAAACACCACACTTAAAGGCCTTTTATGGAATAGGCAACAGTGACAGAAAGCTTCAAAGTCACTTCTAAAACCCTCTCCTGACTAGCCCGTCAGATTCCCCAAACCTCTAATATGTATATATCCATCTTTGACTATCAGCTGTGAATTTCCAGTACCCTGTACTCTTCTTTTTCCTAAACATATCAACGAAAACTCTGCAAGTTGAAAACACAAAGCAAAGACAGCTTTCTCATAATACAGAAAAAAGTGTTTGGCTGATTTAATAAATCTTTAAATAAGCTGGGTTAAAAGTAGAGAGATCTTTCATAATGTCAACCAAATACAGCTTAATCTTCTTTATTGATTTACCTGTAGTCTTTAGAAAAATGAAAGACAGAAATTAAAACCCAAACCTTCAA